ATATTTCTTGGCCAGTTAGGATGTGTTACCTACTGGATTGGGCACTTAAGTTTGTTTAGATTCATTTTAAAAAGATATATAAGATAGGAGCAATTTCAGAACAATCTAGTTGAAAAGACAGAAGTAACACCCCGAACATCAGTGAATCAGTGAAAACTTGATAATCATTGGTGTAGTCGGTCCCTTAGTTCAGATGAGAGAAAAGTAGCAAGTGAATCCCCCTGGAGGGGGTCACTCCATGGACTAATGCTAAAAGCAACAATTCCTCTTGAGCACTTACTGTGTGCCAGGCACTTTGATCAGCATGATGCCCACATGATCTCACTTCATGCTCAAAACAGCCCTGTAAGTGAAGGTCTGTCTCACCCATTTTATGAATGAGATGACTTGCCCAAAGTCAGGCCAGAGAATGCTAATGTCTAGCTCTCAAACACATGTTCTCCACCCCTGTAGATGTGGATGACCTGCCTTCTGATTGCCCATCCCTACCAGGAGCTGGCCCAGCCATCAGCTTCTCTCTTTCTGCCCTGCAGCAGAGCAAGATGTGGCCAAACTCTGGACAAGGGTTACCAAATCAGTGAGAACCCAACCATAAAACTAAAGAGGCTGCTCTTGCATCCTACGGAGGAGTCCCATTGAAGAAGCTATTGGGAAGAAAGTCATAAAGGGGTTCAGGAATGCAATGAAGGATGATGCAAGACTCTAAGGCTAGTAATAGCAGGAAGCCATGATCACCCTAGCCCTGAAGGTGCAAGGGAAGGAAGTGGCTAAAGGAACGTTCCACAGAGGGTGGCGATATGGAGAGAGAAGCTGGCAGCCACTGTGGTCTTTAGCATACACACACCAAGCTGCAGCGTGCAACCAGCAGAGGGACAGGGGAATCAATACCCTACCTCACTCTCTTCCCACCCTCACATCTCCTGTTGATTCCTGGCCAAATTATACCAGAAGTCAAAAGAAAAGGTGGTTATTGATGACGGTGGTAGAGGTCGCCTCTTGGGGCACAGAGCCAGGTGGAGAAGGGAGCCAGGGACGTGGAAGGGCCAAAGGGAGATATCCAGGCCACTTACTGCCCTTGCCCTACAGAAGAGCTGTGCTCCAATAAAGGCAGAGGAAAGTGCTTGGCCACTCTTTGGGAGTTAAAGTGCCAGGTAGGCAAAAGGACACCATCCTCAGCATATATGCAAAGCCAGGGCCAGTTTCATGGGCATATGACCTGTGCCATCACACAAACCCCATGCTCAGCAGGGCCCCACACTGGCATCAATCCTCCGCCAGCACCATCTTGAAATTCTTAACTTTTTTAAACAAAGTTGCCACACTCATTTTTCTCTGAGCCTCACAAATTATATGGCTGGTCCCCTGCAAGGCAAGCCTTTCCTTCAGGTAGTGAGACTAAATTCTGCAGGTATCACAGTATTCTGATACACAGTTCAAAGCAAAAGGATCCAAAGTTAATATTAACCAGGGTAACAGTGATACAGTAGGATAGGTAACATGAAGGAGCGTTTTACTTTTTTTTCTTTCCTTCCTCTCTTTTGAAGTCAAACTGTAAAGCAGCTGAGAAACCAAAATTAGCTGCCCCCTAGAGAGAAACAGACCTTAATTACAACTGCCTCTCCATAGCACAGACTGAATGGATTTTGGCTCTTCCCCAGTTAATGCGATCAATGCAGACAATAAAACAGAATAATTGATGCCCTGGAGTGGACTTTTCTGATACAACTCATTTGATGGGCTACAGTCATCGAATTCGCCAGGCCATTGCCAAAGCCACTCTTTACCCCGCCCTATGTGCCCAATGTACACAGGCTCTAGTTTGGGGCTCATTGTTGAAAATACATAAATAAAAGACCCGCTGATGCACCAATGGCATTCACAAACAATATTTGTAGTGGATGCTTCCAGAAGCACGGGCTGAGAGACTTGAGTCTCTACTGCTTCTGCTTCCCTTTCATGAAAGACTCCAACATCCTTAGCCTTCCTCTGAAGAACTGCATTTCTAAACGCATCTGGGAAAGCCTCAGGTGAGAAGAGAAGGTTCAGTGGCAGCTCTTTTTCCCATTCATTTCCTTCAATGCCATCCAGCAAAGCAAGGCCCAGGAAACTTTTAGCTGAGACAGGGATCAAACTGACTTTTGACAGTCTCTTTCACTCACCCCATTATTTCAGAAATAAAGGATAGTAGATTTTAAGTGTTTGTTAATTTTGTTGTTTAAGGTTAGAATAAAATTCCAAATGATCAAATCAAAAGTATTTGGAAAAGCTCTACTACCTAGAATCCAGGCAGTAAATGAAATCTAGGAGCACCGTAACAGAGTCAGAGATTCCAGAGCTGCCATGTACACTACTGAGCTCTGTCATCGGTCAAAGGATGGTGAACCCCCAAAAAAGGTACGTCCAAGGCTTTTTTGTGTGTGTGTGGGGTGGTGGTGTTGTTTTGAGACAAGGTCTCGCTCTGTCACCCAGGCTGAAGTGTAGTGTCATCAACATGGCTCACTGCCGCCTCTACCTCCAGGGCCCAAGAGATTCTCCTACCAAAGTCCAGCCTTCTAAGTAGCTGGAACCGCAGGTGCAAGCCAAGAGGCCTAATTTTTATTTTATTTTTATTTTTATTATTATTGTAGAGATGAAGCCTCACCTTGTTGGCCAGGCTGGTCTTGAACTCCTGGGCTCAAGCAATCTTCCTGCCTCAGCCTCCCAAAGTGCTGGGATTACAGACGTGAGCCACCACGCCCGCCATAACCAAGCTTTAACCCTTGGAATCAGTGAATATGACCTTATTTGGAAAAAGGGTCTTTGCAGATGTGATAAAGGATCTTGAAATAAAATCATTCTGGATCATGCAGGTGGGTTCTAAATGCAATGACAAATGTCTTCGTAAAAGATGCACAGAAGAGAGATACACAGAGAAGAGCAGGAGGCAATGTGACCTGGAGCGCAGTTCGAGTGATACAATCTCATGTCCAAGAACGCTGCAGCTACCAGAAGCTAAAAGAAGCAAGGGATGAATTCTCCCCTAGAACCCCTGCAGGAAGCATGGCCCTACCAGCATCTCAGCCTCCGGAGCAGTGAGAGAATAAATATCTCTTGCATTAAACCACCATTCTGTGGTCATTTGTTTCAGTGGCCACAGGAAACCAATACAAGCTCACAGCCCATTTCTCACCTGTGGCCTCAGCTTCACAGTCTCCAGCCAGGGACTACAGGAAGCCTTCCAAAGCAGCCCCAGTCTGTGTTCACAGTGGATCTAGTTCTGGCCCCAGATGAGTCTAATCCCTTTCCCTCAGTGTAGTACTTTCATGCCTGTGAAGAAAAGAATATAAAACTCCCACAGAGTGATTCCAGGCCAGATAGCCTCAGCTACTGTTCTCGGCATCCGCCAGCTCATGAGAAATCCCCTTAACTTGTACCAGCCAGGGCAGCACAGAGGGAACTATCCTCTCCCTTACCTTGAACAGTGTTCTCTTATTGCAGCCCAAGGTCTCACTAATGTTTAAACAGTCAGGAGACACTATCGACTCCGTTGGCACTTTCAACTCAAAAAAAATAAATAAATAAAATAAGCTACATCTTTTTCATATGTAGCAAATATGATTCAAGGACGTGTTGTCACTCCCATCAAGTATATGGAAAATATTATTTTTATCTAAACATAATAAATCAAGTATGAAATATGCCTGTGAAGTATATTATTTTGTTTTTGTAAAAAGGAGGGGATCTGATCAGGCACCCACACCACCTATTGACAGCCAAGCCAAGTTGGTACACATCAGATTATTTCCAACCACCTTGCCATGTGTATACCTATGTAACAATCCTGCATGATCAGCACATGTACCCCAGCATCTAAAGTACAATTTAAAAAAAAAAGAATCAAAACACACAGGTTGGGGAAAATGTAACCTTCCAGACCCAGCTGCATAGACAGAAGAAATGTGCTGATGATTTCTAATTATTTGTCAGTCTCCAGATTTCATAACCTGTACTAGCTCCCAATGTTGGGTAAATCACTCAACCTCTCAATGCCTCAGTTCACTTACCTGTAAAGTGGGGATAATTAGAACACTTCTTGGAGTCAGCTGCTCCCTCCCTGCACATCCAGACCCTCCCTCCTCCTTTCTATGGACTACAAGATAGTCCCACATCAACAGGTTTTCTTGCTGTCTGGCTTCTGGCTAGTTTGGACAATTTGCAGGCACCAGCAACAGACCAGAGGGTGGAAGAGAATGGTTAGGGCCATATTCACCTGCATGCCTCCCCACCAGGCCACAATAGGCAGTAGTCATATTCCTCTACTGAAAACCACAGCTCCTGTCGGCAGCCCTGTCCGCTGACCCATTCCAGAAACTGCTCTCTCACCTCCTGCTGAGGTGCTTTCACAATAGCCAAAAGATGGAAGTAAACCAAACGTCCATCAACAGATGCATGGATAAACAAAGCATGGTACATACATGGAACATTATTCAATCTTAAAAAGGAAAGAAATTCTGCCCATGTTACAACATGGATGACCTCTGGGAACATTACAATAAGTGAAATAAGCCACTCACAAAAAAGACAAATACAATTTATATGAGGTGCCTAGAGTAGTCAATTCATAGAGACAGAAAGTAGAATAGTGTTTGCCGGAGGTTGGAAGGGAGGAGGAAACAAGAAGTTTGTGTTTAGTGGAAACAGAGTTTCAGCTGGGGAAGATGAAGAAGTTCTGGAGATGGATAGTGATGATGGTTGCATAATAACATGAATGTACTTAATGTCACTGAACTGTACACTTAAGAATGTTTAAAATGGGCCGGACGTAATGGCTCATGCCTGTAATCCCAGCATTTTGGGAGGCCAAGGCGGGTGGATCAAGAGGTCAAGAGATCGAGACCATCCTGGCCAATATCATGAAACCCCGTATCTACTACAAATACAAAAATTAGCTTGGCGTGGTGGCGCGCGCCTGTAATCCATCTACTTGGGAGGCTGAGGCAGAAGAATCACTTGAACCCGAGGCGGAGGTTGCAGTGAGCTGAGATGGCGCCACTGAACTCCAGTCTGGGTGACAGAGCGAGACTCTGTCTCAAAAAAAAAAGGGTTAAAATGGTAAATTTTATGTTGTGTATATTTAACCACAGTTTTTTAAAAGGATGTATTCAAGAAATATTTATTGCTTGCCTATGGCACAAAGCACTGTACTGGGGCTGCCTCAGGAAGCAAAATGCAAGACCACCATCACCTAGAAGGGAGCTCAGCTCCTGCATATTCCCCCACCTGCTCCAGATTCTAGTCAATCCCTTCCCTAATTATGTCTTACACTTTCATATTGGAATATAAATTCTTAAAGACGGGACAAGATCTTATTCAGCCTGTATCCCTACAACCTAGCAGAATGCTGAGCATGTAGAAACCACTCAAGAATTATTGGTCAAATAGTTGAGTAAAAATCCAGGCAGAGGCCAGGTTGCAGTGGTTCACACCTGTAATCCCAGCCCTTTGGGAGGCCGAAGTGGGTGGATCACAAGGTCAGGAGATCAAGACCATCCTGGCCAACATGGTGAAATCCCATCTATATTAAAAATACAAAAATTAGCCAGGCGTGGTGGTGCGCACCTGTAGTCCCAGTTAACTCAGGAGGCTGAGGTAGGAAAATTGCTTGAACACAGGAGGCAGAGGCCACAGTGAGCTGAGATCATACCACTGCACTCCAGCCTGGACAACAGAGCAAGGCTCTGTCTCAAAAAAAAAAAAAAAAAAAAAATCAGGCAAAGAAATCTATGTCATTTTTCTCATATCTTCTAGCTAGTCAGAAGTTAAAATTTATTGACGTTATATAGCTATATTTGTAGTAATAGAGGGGCTAGAGCTTCACACTAAACTTACTAAACTCACTTTAAATATTCTGTTCACAAGTAATTCTACTAAGTGTGTCAATTGTGGATTTCAGATCAGAACTCCACTGTTTACTAGCCATGTGACCTTGAGCAAGTTAGTGCATACTCCTAAGGCTGTTTCCCTTACCTATGAAGAGGGAATGCTAACAGTCCTATAGTGAACGTCGGTTGTTTTGCGATCCAATATCTGTGGGCTCATCTCATCTATGACAGTATAACACTGTTCTGCTGGAGAAACACCTCTGCTGCTACTTCTTAGCCTATTGCCAGATGAAACATGTGACATGTGACCAAGCCCAAGCCTAGTAACACGTGGCACCCTGGTCACAGGAAGAGACACAAGACCCCATCAATGCTGATGAGTGAGAGCAAGTTATTGTGAGCAATGCTGTGATGGAGACTCACTTTCTGGCTGGATTTAAAGCCCAGACTATGTAAGGTCTGGAGCTCTTCCAGCCATCCTACAATGCGATGGGGCCTCAATGAGATGGCAGTAAAAATGGTACCAACTCCATGAAAGCAAACTGACAAAAACAGAGAAATGAGGTCCTGCTAACAATGCTTGAGGCCTGAATCAGGCCATAGCTGAAATGTCTCCCTCTGGACTGAGGAGTTATCAGAGCCAAATAACATTTCTTTTTTTGTGAAAACAGTTTGAATGCTAGAGTTCCTGACACTTGTAACAGAATTGAGTCCTAAGTAAAATATCTCCTGAAAAGTTACTATAAAGGTTAAATGAGGAAACCCATGTAAAGCAGGGCACATAGTACACACTCAATAAATAGCAACTATCAATGTTAACTGTGGTGATTGCTCATTGTTAGGGTAGAAAGCTCCTGCCATCTAGGGACTTTTAACTCATGTGCTCTATCCCTGATTTCTGTCTTCATTATCTGCAAATGATATTCTCTAGGGAGGAATGATGAGGAGTATTTCCTAATCCCATTCCCTCACAGACAGACATCACTAGTTGACCACAGCACACTTTCTTGCTGAGCCCAGATCAAGCTTTGGATTCCTATTCGACCCAGCTTTCCAGGCAGCCACTACCAATCAGATGACATGTAAAATGAAACCAATTTGTCTCAGCTTCACCGCAACAGTTAGCGAAGTTTTTCTATAAAGAACTAAGTAGTAAGCATGTTAGACATGATCTCTATCACAAATTCTTCTCCGTGTTTTGTTGTGTTGTGTTGTGTTGTGTTTACAACCCTTTAAAAATATAAAGCGCATTCTTTGCTCTCTCGGTTGTACAAAAATTCCTGCTCTAGAGCTTTGAAACCAGACTCCAGGGCTGCCTCAGGGAAGCAGGCACCTTCCTATCTTCCTGTGCAGGGGTGCTGGGATCCCAGGAGTTGGAGACCTTGGAGTGGGTGCTCAAGTCAGAAAAGCACCCCGTGAACATATTGAGTGTCAGAAAAGGAACAGAAGAGCTTTGTTGACAGGAGGTTTCCTGTTATCATACCAATACCAGGCAATCTGAAATTCACACTTTGAGGGATGCTGTGATTCAAGGAAAAGCTATCAAACCCATGTGTGCTATGAACTTCACCTCTGCCTCCAGAACCAAATTCACTGCACAACCCTTTCAAAAAATTGGACCTCCATCCCCTACAGCCACATCTGAGATGGTCAACCTTTTTATGAGGGAAGTAAGGAAAGAGAAGTGTTCGGATCATTACACTTCTTCATTGTTAGTCTGCTCCTCACCATTAAAAGGACACCCCTAAAGAAGTTTCAAGATAGTATGCCACATTTCTTTTGACCAACTCTTGATTCCTTAGTATTTCCCAAGGTTTTTTATTGTAGAGTGTGAGATCTAAAGCTTGGCTTGGTTCTCCTCTCTATTATTCTCTGTGTTTGATTCTGGCATTGGTGAGAAGGACTGGATTTTGTTTGACTGATGTTCATTTATTCACTCAACAAACATGTACCTACAATCAGAATCCATCTCTCAAGGCACTTGCAGATAGGAAGACAGATACATAGATAATGGTGCAGAATGATGAGTGGCAGCATGAAGCAGAGCCACCTCAATCAGCTGGGAGGAGGAGTGTCATGCAGCCTGCTGGAAGGCAGTGTCGCAGCAGCTGAGCTGGAGAGAATGCACAGGAGTTGACCAGACAAGGAAGGGTGGGGAGATGATAGATGCTGAGACTCAGTGAGCAGGGCTACACTGGGGGGGTGAGGTGGAGTGGGGGAGGCTTGGGAGATGAGGTTAATGAGGAGAGAAGGGTGGGACCCTGAAAATCCTTGGAGTCTGAATTCTATCCTGAAAACCACAGAAAACCTCTAAAGGAAATTAAGCAGAATAACTGGCTTCAATTTTTGTTTTCAGAATGAGTGTCTACAGTTTGGAGAATTGACTGGGGTAAGATGATCCTGACTGGGAGCAACAAACTCAAAAGCAATTGGAACAATTCAGACAAGAAGTGCTGGGAATATGAACTAAGTCAGTGACAGCGGAACTGAGAGAAGAGGGCGTACAGCCACACTAACAAAAATAATAAGAGCTCACATTTATGCAGCACTTACAAGGCATGAGGCTTAGTGCTTTCTGGGTATTAACTCATTTTACTTTCACAGTAGCCCTGAGATAGCTTTGTTATCTATTATCAACCTCAGGCCTCAGATCAGAAAACAGAGAAGAGGTTAAGTAAGGACCCCAAGTTCCAGGAGCTATTAGTGAATGAACCACACAGCTCAAACCCGGCTCTCTGGCTAAGGGCCCACACTCCTAATGTCCATGTTGGCAACTGTCCTAGCACAGCTGTAGATAGAGGGTCTTCAGGACTGAACACTGAGTGGTTGAGACACGGGAGATTCTAGGACAATTTCCAGGGATCTGGCTTAGGTAGGTAAACATGTGAATTTCAATTTCTTGAGCCTCCTCCCCTGAAGCTCCTCCCTAAATCTGTCCTTCCCCTCCGCCCACTGCAGGCACCCACACTCCACCATCACACCACACCCCCTCTCCTTTGCAGTCTTTGCATTACTGCCTTTGGCCATAAAACACAGGGATCTCCCAGTTGAAGTGAAAAACCTCACAAGCATTTCCAATTAGGTCTGAGAAACCCCTGACAGCCAAGCCTGCTCTTGGTAATACAGCGGCTTAGGTCTATTATTTTCAAATCAGCCAAAACTGGGAAACTTTGAGCGAGGGAACTTGTGCGGTTTTCTTCTGACAGAGTGAGACCTTGGCAGCCTACTTCTGTGTTTCACCGTACCTGCCCTACGGAACAGAACACTGACCTTCTCGCGGGGCTAGTGTGTAAGCACAGAAGCCCACACAGCTGCCTCGCCTGCAGCCTCCTACAGACCCGCAGGAAGAAACTGACCCTGGCAGGAGCTCCGCAGAGAGCCAAATGGCATTCTTTCTCCCTGCACAAAAGTTAAAGCAAGCATCTGCAGCATTGAAAAAAAAAAAAAAAAAAAAAAAACTTGTGTATTTCCTGCGGACAGGGAGACCTCCTGCCCCTCCCGGGCTGATACAACCCACTTTGCACATCCTGCTTCTCTGGGAGCTAAAAATAAATCGGTATGCACTGAAAAACACTCAAACACATCTCCCCAGCACACCCTTCCCGAGTCCTCTAGGGCAAAAGACACGAATCTTTCAGGTCCTGAGTCCAAAATGCAGACCATTTCCTCGTCCGGGTTCAACCAGCGCCTTTCGGCCGCTCCCTCGGCCCCTTCCCCAGACGCCCACTCCCCGCACCCGCCTCCTGCGGCCTCTCCCGGCCGACTCCGCAGGCCCAGGACCCGGCGGCTGCCCTGGACCCCGGTCCTGGCCCCGGGGCGGGATGCTCCAGATGTCCCTGGGCCGCCGGGCTCACCAACGCCCCCTTCCGCCCAGCGCGCCCCATCCCGCCGGCCCCGCGCGCCTCTCCGCGGCCCTCGGCAAAGTTGCTCTCTCCTTTTCTGCCTCCCACCCTCAGGGTCTGTGATTTTGTTTTGTTTTCCCTCAGAGGCACTGGGGGAATGACAGAGGAATTGACGGGGTGAACTGCACCCAGGAGGAAGCTGCTGGAACCAGGTTCCCAGGACCGCGCGCTCCTCGAACCCACCCCTACGCCCGCAGCGCCCCAAGCGCGCGGGTGCCCCCAGCAGCAGCTCCCGGCGCCGCCACCCCCTGCACACCCGCCCCGGCTGCAACTCCGACTCCGCTCTGGCTCCGGAGAAGCGGAGGGAGGGCGCTGCGACTCACCGCCTCGGCCGCTCCCGGCGTCTGTGTCGCGGCGGGCTAGGCGGCGGCAGCAGCGGCAGCGCCTTCCCTCTGCCCGCCTCCCCCTGGACAGCACAGCCGCCAGCCGCGCCCCCCTCCCCAGCCTCGCTCGCCGCCTCCCTCCTCGCGGCCGCAGACCCCCTCTCCACTGCAGTCCCGCAGGCAGCCTCTCCGGGGTGGGCTGGACCGTGGGAGTGAGGGGGCCAAGCTGAGGCGCGGGGTTTGCAGGTGCAGTGGACGCCCTCGCCTTGCCCTGGTGCAGCGGCCGGGCGTGTCCCCACTGTGCCCCTTAGTCCTAGCTCATTGCCCAGGCCTCTGGCCAACCTGCACTGGTACTTTCCAAGGGATGCCATCTGTTTGCTTGCTCGGGTCATGGGAGGTCAGATTCAACCTACAGCACCTCCTTCGAAGCTTCAGTTTGAGTAGGGGCCTGGGGTCCCTGCGCTTCTGTAGTAAAGTTCAAGGCAGCCTTGCAAGGCGGTTGAAAAGCTCAGGTGGCCTCCTTTGGACTCATTATGCCACAAGGTGGGAGGGGACTGCTTTTGTCTAACCAGTTTCTTCTCTACCCAGAGCCTCCTGTAAACTGTCTAGGAAAAGCTAAAAAAAAAAAAAAAAATCCGGAGGAAGACATCTAAGGGTCCCCTCTCCTGCCTCCTCTTCCTCTCCTCAAATTTTTAGTCTCGTGTGGAGATAATGAGAAGCAAAATGTCTTGTCAATTCATTCACCCAATATTTATCGAGTGCCTGCTGGCTGCCAGCACCTGTTTCCTGTCTTGCTGTGTCATCCACTCATGGCCTCTCAGAAGTCACTGTCATTAACTCCTTGTGCTTGTCAGCCCAGGTGACATTTCCAGAACCCAAAGAAGGTCTCAACAGCAACTCAACTTTATTAGTTTAAAAAGTTGCTGGTTAAAAATAGCAAGGCTGCAAAGGCACCGTGACCTGACTTTCCTTGTTGTAATGATTGCAAAATCTTTTAACATGACTGGTTACAGAAAGGACAGTTACACTGAGGTCCAGACAGCTGCCAACTCTGATTTAAACATCAAGTAAAAGTTTCGTCTAGCCAAAAGCACCCGTTCCTACTTCAACTGGTTGCCTTCAATTGAAAAACAAAAATTTATCTGAGAGGCCATTAAACCACTATCAAATACTAAAACCTTTGCTTGCATTGGATTAGCAGATTAGCCCAGCATTTCCCTTCCAGGCCACACTGTGGACCAGGAAGAGAAATGCTAGGCTAACCTGCTGACCCAATGCGAGCAAAAGTTTGCACTGGAAGGTTGGAAGTTTTTGGGTTTTGGTTTTTTTCTTTTTTCTTATACTAGGCCCCACCCCAAGAGAGTCTAATTGTCAAAAAATCTAGGGTTCAGGGGTGTCCAGCTTTGTATGGGCATTTTTTTCACATGGGCCCCAGGAGATTCTGATGTACATCCAGGATTGGAAACCACCAGGGGATTAGCCAATCATCAAGCAGGGCCTAAGGCAACGGGACCCAAAAACCACAAAGTTTTGATGCAGGGAAAGGTCTGCACAGGTGTTGCAAAGTCAAATATCCCTAAGGGATAAAAGCGAGTGACAAAGAATTGACTTCAGTGGATATACAGGGACAAACTGAGAAGGGCATGATGGCCCTGAAAAAGGCAGCCTGGTTTTTCTACGTGGTGAATGAAGGTCCAATATGGCCATCAAGTTGGGGTATTTTGTTTTAGTTTAGTTTAGTTTTGTTACCCCAGCCCCCAAGAGAGCCAGAAGTCCATGTTTAATGTAAACTCTCCTAATTTTAAAATATCAGTAACTTATTTTAAAAATAGGCCAGGCACGGTGGCTCACGCCTGTATTCCCAGCACTTTGGGAGACAGAGGCGAGCAGATCATGAGGCCACGAGATCAAGACCATCCTGGTTGAGACGATGAAACCCCCATCTCTACTAAAAATGCAAAAAATTAGCCAGGTGTGGCGGTGTGTGCCTGTAGTCCCAGCTACTCAGGAGGCTGAGGCAGGAGGATCACTTGCACCCAGGAGGCAGAGGTTGCAGTGAGCTGAGATAGCACTACTGTACTGCAGCTTGGGCGACAGAACAAGACTCTGTCTCAAAAAAAAAAAAAAAATACACACACACACACTCACACACAATGTGCTCTATAAGCCAAGAAAAAAAGAATTTGTAGGCCACAAGTGGTCCCCTGGTCATCAGTTCATCACCTGTGGTCTGGATGGACTGCGTAGAAAGCAGTTAGGAAGACGGCAGTGCTTGGGGTGGGATCCCTTGGAGAGAGAGGTGATTTTAAAGTCCATTTCATCTACTTTTTTAGTGATGTGACTTTTCTTTAAGGATCTCTACTGTTAAAGAAAAAAAGAAACAAACAATTTTACTGAGGTATAATTCACACATCATACTACTCAAAGTATGCAATTTAATATTTTTTGCATATGCACAGTTAGTTGTACAAACCATTGCCATAACCAATTTTGGAACTGATTTTCATCACCCCAGAAAGAAATCCCATACCTTTTAGCACTCACTCCCTTCTTTCGCCAACCCCCAACTTCCAGTGACCACTTATCTATTTTCTCTATATATCGATTTGCCAATTCTGGACACTTTCTATGAATGGACTCACACAGTGTGAGGACCTTGTGACTGGCTTCTTTCACTCAGCATAATGCTTCCAAGGCTCTTCCATCTCGTAGCATACATCAGCACTTTGTTCCTCTTTCTGAACACATAAGATTTCATTGTGTAGCTCCATCACATTTTGCTTATCCATTTATCAGTTGACAGACATTTAGGTTGTTTCACTTTTTTACTATTATGGGTAATGCTACTGTGAACATTTGTGTACCAGTTTTTGTGTGGATGTA